GCTGGCCCTGCGCGGAGCGGGGGCGGCCACCAGGTCTCTTCGCCGCCGGATCCTTTCCCCGCCGGGTGATGCTGCTGCTATGGGGGTCCGTACCGGGCACGGTGCGGGGACGCAGCCGGGGTGTCACTTAGGGAACATGCCTTTAACGAGCGTGTAGCGGGGTCAAGGTGGTGTGTTGCCTCCTGCGGGTCACTGAAGGCAGGGCACAGCCTGCCTGCCCTGCCCTTGCTGAAGTTGGGGACCGATGCATGCAGTCCTAGGCTTGATGGCCAGCGGTGGCACAAATGCGGTCTTCAGTAGAGTTGCAGGAGCGGGTGCGTAATGCCAGCACGCAGCTCAGTACTACCACGTTGGATTGGGAAGCGCTGGGAGAAACCGACTTTCTGTTCCTTGGCGGTCCTTCGTTCCTACTTCCCTCTGTCCGTGGCAGCCAGAGGACTCTGGGCTAGTGAAAGCTGGCTGGAGCTAGGAAATAGGTAGTACTCGTGACTTGTTAATCATTTTGCTACGTATGAAATTCTGATTAAAAAATGTATTGGAATAAATTAGGGGAGGCTGAGATCTGTGGAGTGATTACTTGGGTGCCTAATCTGTGATTAGAGCATCTTTTCCCCTTCCTGTATTATTAAAACGCTTCTGTCAATTTCAATGACACTTCAATGCTATGATAGAAATTACTGAACAAGGGCAACGGATACCTCCTTCACCTTAGCTGTAAGGGCCCAATCCCGCAGAGACCAACTTCCTTCCACCCCTCCTGGTTTGGCAGCTGTCAGAGCCCCTCTGCCGAGCCCTTGCTCCTTTCCTGTGCCATCCCTGGCTGCCCTTCCCCTGGCAAAAGCTGCCTTGTTCAGGCAAAGTATTGCTTATTGGGTTGCGTGTAATGGTTGTCCTTGCTGCTTCCCGATGAGCCCACATGGATGGGACAGCCCTGTGGGATTTTGAAGGTGCGAGTGACCTTGGAAAGCGCTGTGGTTTTCTCTCTCAGCTTTTGCCTGACTTGCCCTTGTATGCCATGAGCTTTTTGATTTGGGGACTGATGTGTGTGCAGGTCCTGGGAAGTGTTTTAAAACCTGGTCCGCACCCCGTGGTAGTTATAGCGTATATTTGGTAGTGGCAATGAACGTGCTACTCTAGCACTTCCATACTACTCCAGATAAAACATGATTTAGGAGTGGGTGGGGAATGAGACTGTTTCTTCCCTTCTCGGGAATGGTGGAGGTGGAAGAGGAATGTGACATACCCATGGGGATTTGGCTCACCTCAGCTTTGGTCACAGGCAGGTTAGTCCTGCTCGCACTTAGGCTGCAGGAACGCTTGCTGCCCCAGAGTCACGTTTCCCGTGGAAGAAAAAGCTGTTTCCTTCTTGAACAGCAGAGCAAATCAAACCTAAAAAATTTCTAAAAGGGATTCTCCCAACAGGAGTTTAATCTGTAGCCTTTTTGTTAAATGTTATTCTTGCATTAATGATCCAGTTAGGCTTCCCAGTATATTAAAGGCAATATTCTGGAGTCCTTAAACAAATGCTTGTCATCTTTAATGATAACTGACTTTGGGATCTGGTCTTCCATAATCTCATGCAATGCTGACTGTAATTTGCCTTAGGGAAACAAGATATACTGCTGTTTTAAATCGCAGTTTTGGCTTCTCTTGTTGCCCTTGACCAAAGTAGAATTCAGTGAATCCTACCTGATATCTGTCCAGTGATTAATCTGATCTTGCTTGGAAGAGGAGTTTTTTGGTTGTGTTGTTTTTTTTTTTTTTTTTTTTTTCTATCAGAGGTAATTATGCCATGTAGTAATTCAGTGGCCAGGAACATCGGAAGAATCTTGAGAGGCATCATTTGAAAGGATCTCTGTGTGTAACGGGGGGAAAAAACCCACGTTTGTCTGGTACCAGAGGTCTCTGTTTCTCAGATGAAGTTATTGTGCTGTAGTGAGGAGCACGGTATAAATAGCAATGCTAGGTTTTAGCTGTTGAATTCAAAGTTATGGTTTCCACAGCAACCAGCACTCAAGCTGTCGTTTACGTACGTAATATTTCCCCCCTTTTTTTAAAAAAAAAAAATTTGTAGCTGACTTCTGGTGTTGTGCTGTGTCCAGTCCTCCTCCATGAACACCCCACACTCAGTCTTCTTGCTCTGCTTTTGCGTGTCCCCCTCTACTTCCCTTCTCCTGATGGCCGTCATCTTGTTCTGTTCCCAGCTCCAGGCTTCCTGCTGCCTTCTCCTGGGCCAGTGGCTGCAGGCTCTGTGTCAGGATCCTGGCCTGTCTACCGTGTTCATTTGTCTTCCAAGTCCTCCTTTTGGTACCAGCGTTTGCTTCCAGCTGTGCCTGCGGTGTGACAGGCACCGCGCAAACACGGGAAGAAACAGCCCTGCTTTGAATCCCTGGCATATCCCTCAAATACCCACCTGTGTTTCCCATCTCTCCCTTACCTGGAAGGTCGTTGTCTTGATGGTAGGTCCACACGCTCTCCTGGCTCTTGCTCAGTCATTTCTCTTGAGGCTTAAAGGAAATGCAGACGCTGTGCCCTGTGTGGCGGGCTGCGGGATGTGCCCTTCCTGTATGAAGATCAGGATGCAATGCTTGTTTTTAAAAATGGTTGTCACATGAATGTGCAGTGTTGCTAAAGTGTTTTCGTTTATAGCCAGGGGGTTGATGTATCTACGTGGTTGTGTCCAAGTTGCAGTTTCCAGAGCAACTGGAGCTTTGTATCTTGGAAGACCATTAACTAAAGCATGAAGCATCACATCAAATTTTCCTTTCTTAAATTCTGTAATTTTAGCTACTGTTAAAAACGCAGCTCTGCTTATCTGAGAACATGTTTAAAAACCTTAAATGACCAAGCAGATCTTCTTCAGATATGTACCTCTGTGATAAGAACAAGAATGGGAAATTTCAGCCCCCTAAGTAATTATCCTTAGAGCTATAGCATGAGGCACTTCAG